TTTCCCTACCTAATGCATATTTATTTGGGTGATGTAATCTAAGACTGTGCTTGCTTTATTCGGGTGAATTTTACAAGGTAAAAAACATAAACCCCTCATGAATCAATGTCTGTTGTAGAAGTTGTCTGATTACATCAATTAGGTTTATGAAAGGTGAGAAAATTCGGCCTGGGGACAGATAATTCGACTTGAAGACATCACCTACAGTGTCTGTGCACAGATAATGTTCCCTGGGTGTTCAGCCTGACCCAAAGTTCTGAAGCCATCAGGACCTTTCATTCCAGTGGGTTCAGTGCAGGGAGATGAATTGACCATGGTTGAAGCTGTTCTTTATTAAATCCGTGTTTGGTGCTGGCCTTGGGATCTGCCTGGGAAGGGCCTTGGGAAAATAATCCTCTGTTCCTCTGAGAGTGCCCCAAGCCACGTGGAGTGTGTGCTGCCCTCACGGGCACATCTGGCAAGCACAGTTCATCCTAGATACTTAGCAAGATGTTTTGTAGCCAGATTTTTTTCTGATGCTCTTAATTACGTGTGTTCCTGACATCCCCCTGAGCACTCTCTAATGTAATCCAGAGTCATGACTCAGGATCCTGCAGACAATGAACAGGTTGTGTTCTCTTGGGTAAATCAGAGACTGTTCTGCATCCTCAGTGTTTTTGGATGTGTTTCTCATTCCTCATTCAAGCTCAAGCAGTCTTTGAGCATCAGAGATCCAGGTTTTAAAAAAAGAGCTGGAATTATTTGATTAAGGAACTTTAGGAGGTGGGGAAGGCAAAGGAAGGGGAAAGGAAAGTGAGCAGAATTCCCCTCTGGCTCTGTAGGTAGCTATGGTAGGGATTTCAGGGTTGGAGAGTTTCTTTATGGAATATTTAAATTAGAGGGTTTTTTGCATAGTTTGTTTCTGGAGTTGGTAGACCTTGTGCATGTGCTTCAGCCTCTAGAGTGGTGTAAGTTGGGTGAGTTGGGCTCAGCCTGGTGCATCAGTGCAGCCAAAGGGGATGGATGTGCCAACAACATGAGGAATTGTGCCACTGACCTTCCCAAGCATATCTGGTGGTGAAGAGATTTGCACTGTCCTTTTCTTGGAAAGAAATGGGAATGGTTGTTAAATGGGAATAGCTGAGAAAAAGTGTGGCCCAACACACACCATAAACCCTCTGCTTATTGCACCTACAAGGCTGTTTTCCATCTTGAGTTGCCTCCTGTGCTGTTCAAGGGGAGTTATGGGATTTATTTCCAAACTATGTCAAATATTTTGAATAAATTCCTCAGGGGCATTGCTCAGAATGAATCAAAGGCAAAATTCCTCACTGATGTCCACCAGAGGAGAACAAGTAGGAGTTTCCAGATAAACCCTCTGCTTATTGCACCTACAAGGCTGTTTTCCATCTTGAGTTGCCTCCTGTGCTGTTCAAGGGGAGTTATGGGATTTATTTCCAAACTATGTCAAATATTTTGAATAAATTCCTCAGGGGCATTGCTCAGAATGAATCAAAGGCAAAATTCCTCACTGATGTCCACCAGAGGAGAACAAGTAGGAGTTTCCAGACCAGCACTTAAAACACTA